TAAGTCTTGTGTGGAAGCTCCAGCAATGCAGTCTGCTCCCGCCTACTGCTGGTTTAGCGTTCTGTTGTTCTGGTCCAAGAAAAAGGACGCTGTGTGCGTGCTCTCCAATACAATTCATTGCGGTCGACATCCAAGTAGCTTGCACACACACTTCGCCATGGACACCCACTTTATGATTCTGTGCGCAGAAAACTGAGGGCGTTGTGTTTCAGTTCCGCGTCAATCAGGAGAACCTTCTTTAGTTTGGTCTACTGAAGAAGATGGGGCTCCATAGATACTGCATTTTGGCGCTTATGTGCGTGGCCTCGACAGCAGGGGTTAGCACACCTGACACCGCAGAGATTCCAGGCCCTGTTTCATTCGTGACGGATCTTCATATAGTAAAGGAAGGTACGTATCACCATTTACAGTACAAGGAGTTCGGCCCCCAGACCTAGAAGCTTAGGCATACGAGGTCTTTAAAAAATAAGAACGGCATATAGCGTAACACGTGCGATGTGGGATGCCTTTCATTCCTGTCTTCAGTTAAACTGGAGGCTTTCGCTCAGGGAGACCTTAGTAGCGGATCCAGTAAGCTCGGATCATGGACCCCACCAGGCTCCGAAAAATGGATTATAAAACAAGAAAAGTGCCTCGTAAACAAGGATGCATGGGCATTTGGCTGCGCCCCTGAAGATGAAGTAGTTGCCGGCTATCCGCGTGAGACGTTTTTCCTGTTCAATGCGGGAGCTGTGGAAATTCATCCTGAAAATTACGATTTGGTGGACATTTACTTTGAAGGGGCGCCAGGCGCCACCTTTACTGGTGTCGAATATTACTTCGAGACCCTCATGGAGCCCCAGTTCGCGTCTGCTACGTCTACAGAATACACGCAATTCATAGACAGTGGCCGAACAAAATTCGTAATGGCCATGTCCGGTGCGGAAAGGTTGATCCAGAGCCCCATAGAGGCTGTCTGTACATGGGAAAAGAGAGAGTGCTTGTTGGATGTGACCGACCTTTTCTACGAGTCCCCCGGAACGCTCCGGTCAACTCTAGACTTAAGCAAGATTGTAATCTTGGTAAATATTGTTCACAGGAATGTTGAAATTCCAGCACTGTCGTCTTCCACAAAGCTCCGCGTCAGCAAAAGTGAGTCGTTGCGAGCCATATAATTATATTGTGCACACCATGGTGTGACAATTTGGCGGCAGCGATACTTTCAGGGGTGATGCAGTGGACTTTCCTATGGCATATGACGGCTGTAAAGCTTTCAATATTTGTGTTGGTGTTGAAATTGCATTGCGAACATTTTTTTCACACTTGTGGAGACGGGATTTCGTGTTGCGCTTGCAGTTGAAACGGAAGGAGTGGAGCTGTGCAAATCGTTGCTCTCCGTTGAACCACGCACGTTTCGTTACACTTACTGTTGGAGGAGGTGTGACAACCTAAGGCGGGGTCAATGTCCCGGAAAATCTGGCAGCGCTCTTTTCGATTGCATGGTCAACATATTTACAATTACCGGCACCGCAGATTGCCTGTCAACAGGGTCGTCGTCTGCGTGTACAGACGACATCTGTGTATCCCAGGCTACGTGTACTAGTGGTTTTGGCGGAGGAAGCACGTGTGTTTGCCCTGAAGGCACTTCCGGGGATGGCTTGAAGAGCGGTACCGGCTGCGTTGGAGGAGAGAAAGCATGCACACAGGGCCTTTGCGTTGCACAGGCAGGGTGCACTGTCGAAGGCACCAGTGAGTTGTGTGCGTGTCCCAAAAGTATGAGCGGCGATGGATTGAGATCTGGTACAGGTTGTTTTACTCCCTGTACAGATCAGTGCGCAAGCAATGCCACCTGCAAACCTGACAGCAGTAGTGTTGGGCGTTGCACCTGTCCGGCGGGCATGTCGGGGGATGGCCTTGCTTCCGGCAGTGGCTGTACTTCGGCGTGTGATCCCAGTGCTTGTGCCTCGGAGGCGACGTGCAAAGCCAACCAGAGTGGCGTGGAAGTCTGCACGTGTCCAACAGGCATGTCAGGAGATGGCCTTGCCTTTGGCACTGGCTGTTTACAGACGTGTAATGGCGAGCGTTGTGCGTCGGACGCGACATGTGAAAGGAACCAGAGCGGCGTGGATGTGTGCACATGTCCGTCGGGCATGACGGGCGATGGTCTTGCCTCCGGCAATGGCTGTTTTTACGTGTGCGATGCCGAGGCTTGTGCGCCGGAGGCGACATGTAAAGCCAACCAGAGTGGTGTGGAAGTCTGCACGTGCCCAACAGACATGACAGGAGATGGCCTAACCTCTGGCAGTGGCTGTTTTTATGTGTGTGAAGGCGAGCGTTGTGCGCCGGAAGCGGCATGTGAAACGGATCAGAGAGGCGTGGATGTGTGCACGTGTCCGTCGGGCATGACGGGAGATGGCCTTGCCTCTGGATACGGCTGTACCGCTGAGCCAACGAAGTGTACTGCAGAATGCGTGCCCTCAGCTGTATGTGAAGTGTTTGCTGAAGGCGTTGAGAAGTGTTTGTGTTTACCTGGTTTGGAAGGAGATGGACTAGTGTCGGGTACTGGGTGTCATCATGGTTGTGAAGAAGAGTGCTCCCCTGAGGCTATCTGCAAGGGAGATTCGGATGGGGTTGGCCACTGCACGTGCCCAGTTGGCATGCTAGGTGACGGGTTAGTCTTTGGTACTGGTTGTCGTGAACCAGGAGAAAATTGCGGTGGAGAAATCTGCTCAGTTGAATCTGCCTGCAAGCCCGACGCTACCGGACAAGATAAGTGTACTTGCCCCGACGGGATGGTCGGAGACGGATTGGCTTTTGGAGAAGGTTGTAGTGGTGAGTCAACATGCGGCGATGATACCTGCTTTGATAGCGCAGAGTGCAGTGGTCGCATCTGCATATGTCATCAGGGCGTGGTGGGTGACGGGGTATTGGGTGACTCCGGTTGCAGGAAGTAACGCACAGCTTTCTTGTTTCGCTGAGTGTTATCCCAGTTCCCGAGAACATGTTTCATCTATGCCACTTCCGCTCCGCTGAATGTACCAATTCGCGTGCGTAAAAATTATGTTCGACCTTTCCATAAAATAGCAAATTGTCTGGTTGTGTGCATTAATGTCCGTTTATGACCAGAAGAAAATCCTTGCAATGCCAGCTGCTCCCGAAACGCAACATGCACAATAGATGAAGGATTGGTCACCTGCGTTTGTGATGCTGGATATGAGGGCAACGGGAATGTTTGTATCGGTAAGTTTCTCGAGTACGCCGAATAAAAAAATGGTGCAACGCTCTGTAGCTGGAAGTTTCCTTCAGTAGTACTACTGATTGCTACTAGCTCTTCCTATAAATCTCGATATTAAGGTGAAAAGATAACGCAGGTCAAGGTCGGGCATTTAACGCGTTCGTATAAATGGTATGTTCAGAGTCAGGCACATGTGAGGTCAACGACGACTGTGGTGAAGGTTCAATTTGCCGCCTCGAGAACAACGTGAGTACTTGCACCTGCTCTGGAGGTATAGAAACATCAGGCGGAGGGTGCGGTGGGTCTTATCAATACACGTTGGCATCGAATAGCACGATTAAGATATTAGTTCCTAAAACCCCAGCAAAGATGACCATTGACGTGGGGGACTGCATCACCGTGTCCGTCGACTTTGAAGCCAACTCCTTCCAATCTCGGTATGTGGGCGATTCGGCTAGAACAGACCTAGCAGGCGACTTTTCGGGCGGCATTCAATTCATGATACACCGTGAAGAACAAGCGGTATCATCGTTGATTTCTACCGACAGTGGAGCGTCGGAGGGCTTATTGTCTCATCCATATACGCATTGCCGTTTCGGTCATATTGCTATACATGGCTTTCCACAAGGTTATGATGGCTCTAACATTTCTGTTCTCATCACGGGGAACCTTGCCGAAGCCTTTGTTTCCAGTAGTGCTGCGCGCTTCTCTAAATAGCCTCCGAGGGAGCCATCATAAACACTAGGTCAGGTCAGTTATGGGCATGCCGTCGGAGCATCGCGTCGCTGCGGTACTCTGTGCGTTGTCACAAATGCATTTGTGGCCTGGTGGACCGGTACCCCTTTCATCGGATCCCACTATCCTCCGCGGAAGGAATTTGGTCATCATTGCTGACAGCGGCCCGAGTATCGTCAGATGTACTGATTGAACGCTTCGAGAAACATTACACCATTCCACGCGCAGCACAATTTGAAAGCTGCAAGGTACTCAGTGCTTCGTAGCCACGCTGACGGCGAAAACTACGCACGGAATCAGTTCGTCGCCTGCATGTCTTACACTTTGACCGTCAATGGCCATCATGCGTGTCCACACCAACCAGCCCACGAAACAAACCAGGCATTGATAAGCATGGCCATCCATTCGCCAGGGATTTGTCTACCTTGCGGCATGGATGCACCGTGGGGTGCCGGTTCAAGCTGAAATGTGCAAGGGATAAGAGTGATTTTTCCAGCAAGCGGCAGCCCATGTATGAGCACCAAAGTTCCACGGGCCCAGACGTATGGGTACACATCCCCTCTGGTGCCTGCGGTTCCGGACAGGCTATCAATGCACAACTACAGAAGCTGGCCACATAAGCCCGCTACAACTCAAGGTGTGATGTGACTCCTATTTACAGCATACTTGCGGCTAATAGTGTGGTGTGCAGTCAGACTGGCTAGTGGATAGTATACCTAGTGGCCCAGACGGTCAACAGCGCATGCTACGAGTCCAATAACGGCAATCCGATCTACGTATCCCCTGTAGTTCTACATTTACCGATCACCTAGACTGCACTGGCTGCATTAACAGCTTTATCACATGCCCAAACAGGGCTTCTCCAAATGCCACAGGTGGTTTGGGTGTAAAAGAAACCGACTTTTGGGGACCCGTCACTCGTCATCATTGACTCAACAAACCTTCTCTGCGTACCCATAGCAGGATGCCTTCCGGCATGGAATAAGTCACAGCGGTGCGTCCGGAAGACGCAAAACATGTGTACATCCATACGTGCTGGTGCACTGGATGATCAGCAAGCTGTGATATGCAGAATGGCCTCAACAAGATCGTTGTTGTTTTCACGAAGGGCCTTCGCTGCTTCAGACTTAGAACAGCGAAGCTGCGAAACTATCAATTCAACGTCTTTTGGGTCCACACCCTCCATATCGACTTCTTCCGTGGCTGCGCTAGGCGCAGGCGCAGTAGCCTTCGCCGCAGCCACGTTACCCGTGGCCATGCTGGACTGATCTGTAGCACCAAATGGCAGAGCGCCCTGTGTGAAACGCTGTGCCGCCTCAGCTGCAGACCACAAGCATAAGCAGACACACGAATACACCTTAGGACACCGCTGGGCCCCCAATCGAGACGACAGATAAAAGGGAAAACTATCTCGTAAACTATTATTATGCGCTCAGTCCTGGAAAGCATGTAATACAAGAACACTTACTATGCGCCTGAGAAGCCATATTCTCGGCCTGGCCGAAGATCACATACGTGTCTGAAGACAAGCTCTTGAACACATCTGGCTTTGGCAGCACAAACCAAGCCTAAAGACAAGGATACGCACACCGAAACAAACAGCTGTTAGGGTTGAGCCTTCATGAAAGGTGAAGGCCGCTAAAAACGTCAACCTGTTTATCGCCTGTGTAATGGTATCGCCAGCAAGGAAAACAGTGAAGAATCCCCTAGCTGCTTATCCCCACAGGAAAGGATGCTACTCTGCATTCTTCCCTGCAAATGTAGCGCTAGTACTGACGAATGAAAACGAGAGAAAGGGGACGCTTAGGCACAGTTGGTAGGAATGCATCCCGATGCAATCTTCACCTGTTTTGCCTTGCGGATAACAACCTTAACAATTTCCGGCATGGGTTTCATCCCCAGACGCAACACAGCCTTCCTGGCCTTCTTTTCATTCCGAGATTGGCGGGAGCGGCATGAAGAACCTTCACCGTCCTGCTGTTCCTGCTGGGCGCCTTCGTCATGCTGCTCATCATCAGAGGCGCTCTCCGATGAAGAGGACGAGACATGCTCGGGCTCCTCAACCTTCTTGTTCGCCATTTCCGATATCTCTATGCAGCACTATACTCTTCAAACACCACCGCCAACAAAAATAGCGCAAAAAGGACCCAGGCACTGCTGCGCACCCCCCACAGCCCCTGCCGTCCGTTGGGGGCTGTGGGAGCGCAGGCAGCACTACGTGGCTTTGGCATACCTACTGTAGAACCATGCTGACTTCGAAAAGGCAAATTTTAAACTAGAATGACTCCAGTGCTACATGTTATGGTGTTTCATACCCTGTTAATGCACATTTATGCGGAGAACCGGCTTTCTTTGGAGGCAACACGAGTTTTTTCAACGTTGATTCGCGATGCAACACAGCACGTCAACAGTGCTTACATACACACGTCTACGGCGATGAGCCTATTCCTACTACAAAGCTATCCAAACTATAGAATACTGAATGGTCAAATGGTAGGGAACAGGCTGGCCTTTACACAAGAAGACAGACGATACAACGCTTCAACTATGTGGTCTCCGTGGGGAATCCCTTCCCTTCGTCCACACTCAGTATACGCTCAACAGAGAGTTAGGCAGTGTTTTCAAATGAGCTCCCGCTTACTCTACCAGTACCTCTCAACCCTCTTGATATGAGGGGAGGAACACTTCTTCCATCTAAGGTCTCCTAATATATACACTAATCACCGGACCTAATGCAAACGCAATAGAAAACTATCGAGTAAATTCCAAAAGAACTCCCTCCAGTCCCTGCATGCAACCCCTATAATTCCACAGATGAGGGCAGAGGGCCAGCTCAATGCACCCGAAGCATTTATGGCTAGTTGCGCATAGCATGCACCGCAAACGCATAGAGCATTGCGTCTTCAATCCAGCTAGAATTACCAGCAATAAATGCGAAGTACGAAGAGACAAGTTCATTGGTCAATTGTTCTCCAGTTCTTCGCTTAATATTACTGAAGTAGTTGAAAGTCTTTAAGTGTAATTTCGTGTGCTACGCAAGGGATTGTTTTACTCGAATTACTTCGTAATTGCCGTTTCCTCGGGAGCGTCATCTTTCTTAAATGCTTACCATCAGCTATGAATAATCTTTTGGAAGTTCCTGGCTATAATGAGGTTGCTCTCTCTACGTAGCTGTACGCGGAGAAACTCTTAAGTCTGCTGTCTCTACATTCTTGCTTATGGGTCATTTATTCTTTGGATACACTTGAAAAGCATTGCTTCATATGGCATAGATGCATGATAAACAATAATGTATTTCGAGCCCATTGAGACCTCTGACGCTTGTGCATTTGCCTCGTTGCAGGCGGCTCGCGCACTTCCACGTTCCGGTAGTAACAAAGTATCGCACCGGCACGGTCCCGTCGATTTCGTGCGTCTTTCGATGTTGATTAGTGTATGTGCCGTTCTTCCCCTGTTTCTCTCTATACAAGCTTGTCCCATGCGCTGCTCTTATTAGAATTGAATTTTGAGGTTCTGCCTGCCTGGAGAGTTGCTGCAGGGCAGGAACCCGTCCGCCGGCCTTCACACAGCTGGTCTTGACAGACCGGTAGGGAACACGAGGATATGTTGTGAAGGGGTGAAGGATATAGCGGGCTAAGCTACACTTCAATTCATTCTATTACACTAGTTGTACGTAAGTAAGAATTAGCTAAGAATTACATACATTTTTTGACATATATCTTACTGTTTGCATAGTCCTGTTAGCTCGATAATAGAGCAAATGTCAGATGCGTGTGCGGTAGATGCGGCATGCAACTAGCTGTGAATGCTCACAGTGCTTAGAGGATGCAGTTTTGCTTACCAGAGATGTCTTGCTCCTCTCATCTTAGAACTTTGCGAGGTGCGGGAAAGGGAAGGCAGGAGGTCTTTAGAAAGGCCATTGTAATGCGCTAATATCGTATGTGGAGTTGGGAGCCCAGAGAATTCAAGTGGAGCATTACAAGTAAAGAGCAGAACGGGTCAATATAGGATGCGGAAACAGTGGAACAGAACAATCGATGACAGTGTACAGGTATGTTCAGGAGCTCAGTGAGGGATGACGCTGGCAACGCGAAGCAAGCCATACAGTGGCGGCGAAGCTTCTCGCTCCCCCTGGGGTTCATGCTGCATTTTGGCTCGTTCTTATTAGATAATCGTGCTTAACTTACGATTAGTACCTGCAAGCTGTACTTTTTGCACAATGTTCTACTGGTATCACATGAAACTCAACCGCATGCAATGAAAATGAATGCCACGTGCCTCCGCACTTTGTTTTCGCGTGCGAATGCGCGTAGCCCCTACCACCACAAGCAGGGATCATGTATAGTGAGCGCAAAAAGAGCGGTGAGCGGTTTCAAACTAGCGCTTAATAGATTTCGCTAAGGATGCATTCCGTATTTGGGGACTAAGGTCTCCTCAGAAAAAGAAGGAAGAAAAAAGCACTGGTCCATTTCTAAGTTTTCTGCCCAGAGACTACTAAAAACTAGTCCCGATAAGCATTCTCTACACCGGCATCATTTTATGCGAAGCCTGCATACTAGTACAAGGCGTGATAGGCTCAGGACTTGTTGCCGCTCCCATGAAACCGATCACTAGCGAGCAAGCAGTTCAAAGACGGAATTTCTCGGCGTCTGCTTCCTATTTCAAGCCTATAACGATGAGGATTTCTGAAATGCAGGTAACGTGCGAAGGATAAAGCTGTTCCAGCTGTACTAGCAGCAGCTACAATGCCAGATAGATGCTCATTTCGGGGCCAACAGCTCTAGTCCTCTCAAGGGGGCCACCGTCTGCATCTTAGTCCTTCGAGTAGGGACTTAGGCAACTGTCATTCCCCCAGTTTTCCCAGTCAAAAGTACCCGTAACATAAAGTGAAACAGCTAGAGGCAGAAATGGATTGTCCAAACAGTGTGGATCTATACTAGAGGCTAGAAGTTTATAATTTACCGCTTGGAATCGAATCAAACTAACCACCAACTGCATGTTGTGTGTCTCCTTGTGTTCCATCTGCCCCTTCAGATTGGTTGCGTCGGTATTCCTATTGTTTTCGTCTATTAGCATAACGCGTCGCTGATCGTTTTGCTCTTCCCACGTATTCCTCGATAAACTTGGCTAACACCACACTGGTTTTTTTTCCCCCAAACTCACAGGCTCAAGCCGTCAAGCACGTACTCAAACACTAAGCAAAAGGTCAGAGAATCCAAATACCTCAGGCGATGCAGTTTCAGAATTTTTCACCTGGTAGCTCCAGGTATAGGCTGTAAGATCCCTTGTGATGGATTGTAGATATGGCTGACAATGTTTGTACGACCTGACCCTAACTACCACAATCTGCAACTCCAAAACTTGAAACCCGAAAAGAAACCTTGAGCATCTGTCACAGCTAGTCGGCCCCCAAAACTAGGATTGCAAACGTGAGTAAACCTGGAATGCTCTATGTAAGAGAGACAGAAAAAAGCCAATGGCTAAGCCCCGCACACCACAGACGCATAATAACACGACGCGAGACGGAAAAAGACAGGCAGCCTGAACACGTGGCAGATATACTGCAGACGAGAAGGTAAGGGGCTCAAAAAACCAAAGATGGAAAGCATGGCTCTTCTGTTTTCCCTGTTTGCCACCCTCAGAGCAGTGAACGGGAAGAAATCGCATCACGCACTGCAGATCCATGTTATTTGAGAACAATGAAAGCTCGTCGCTTTATCTCGCTTTGTTTTGCTGACAAATCGAGAACTTCTCCGCCATTTTGCCTTTCTGAAATACCTGCCTTTCATCACAAGAATATCTCTTTCTGCCGTTAGATTCTATTAATTTCGTTCGCTTCCATATTCCTGCTAGCATGTAATCCTAATATATATAAAACATGGCCTTTTCCCTTTCTTCTTTCTCCGTCACTCTATGTTGATTTTCTTCTTCTCTGTCTTGCTTTTGTGATCGCTAGTGGAAACCCGGACAAACAGAACCCCATTTTCCATGGTGGCACTTACTGAGTCTTCAATGGCGTTAGGTGGCAACTGAAAACGACGGCAGAAAAAGCCGAAATTTCTTTCGGCCACAAAACATTCCATATTCTCCCCGAATTCTTCCTTCAGGTCAGGCTTTGGACGTTCACCTAGTGAATAACAGAAGCACAAACAAATGAGCAAAAAAGAGTGTGAACAGATCTATCTAGAATAATCCAGGGGGCAGCAGAACGCATGAAGGAAAGATATTAGAGGCAAACGTAATGTTACCTACAGGCCCATTAAAGATGGTGCGTAACAGCACGCCAGACTCACATCACCACACCTGTTCACAAGCATCGATACTTCTGTGGTCATCCAAGTATTTATCTGCCTGTTTCAAATTGTTATTGCAGCTCTGTATGCAAATCAATTATGGTCTACAGCCTTTTCAGGTGCATACACACGGATTTATTAATACCTGCACACCGTGGTATGAGTGGAAAAGAGGGCACAGCTAGTTTAGTGTGTTTATGCGGCTTTCACTTTCAGTTCGTAAGCAGCTAATGCCTTGTTGTATCTGACCAGAAATAGAGATACATCTGCCGTCGATTTCCACGTCAACGTCGCGCTTAGTGAAACCAGGTAGGTCAAACGCGAAAACAAGTTGGTTCGTCTTCGCATCAAACACTACGTCGGCTTGAGGTCTTAGACTGATCTTCGTTGCCTCAGGATCTCGGCATGCGACCTCAAACACTGTATTCGGAGCGGCTGTGAAAGCCCCACCTTGCGCCATCGGATACCAGAAACCCGTCTGGAAAGGAAGATGCCATTATACACAAAACATCCCTGTATAAGAAGAAAATATTTTACACAGTAAAGTGATATAAAGGGGTAGGGAGTGCCACTGGGCGAGCAGAACAAAGCAAGGTGCAGAGAATAATGAGGAGCAAGGGTCACTTTTGCACACTGTTATTACTCAATCCCTGAAGCTGCTGATAGGAAACACGAAATCCCTCGTAGTTCTGGGTTTACTGAGTAGGTATACGTCGATTTGCTCGAAGTTGGGCCGCTGGGGACTTCGCGCTGTCGAGGCCCGTGTTCGCTCAAGTATGCCTTCACCTCATCCCATGTGGCCTGAACGAGACCCCAAGCCCATGCCATGAACAACAGGCCCCACGCAAATGAGCGGTTCTGCCCTTATCTGACGAAATCAGCCAGCTTAGGGATTTCGGGCTTAGTGTTTGGCTATACCTCTCCCCTCTCGATCATCTGTCTTGTCCTCGGGTCTTCCAAAAGTTTGTTTCTGGTATCTTCGATGTACTTCTTGAGTTCCTCAATATTTCCAAACTCCCCCTCAGCTTGAGTACAGGCCTTTCGCTCGTGCTGAGGCTGCATGTCACTCCCTACAAGAACACATGGAGGGCCAGGGACTGCACGCAGATTATAAGTCGTAGTGCGGGTGGTCCTGGTTGTTCCGGTGGGCGAGACCGAGCCCGTGACCACAACCTGCACGATAAATGACCGCAGCCAATGGAAAGATGAAGATCCCTCATATTGCATGAGCGTTGATGTACATGTCTTGATGAGACCAATTATTATACCGTCTATTCGCCCGCTTTGATTCTCTAACAAATGCACCGAAATTCAATTAATTAGCCACATTTCAATAATATACATTGCAAGAGAGGTAGGGGAAAGGAAATAGGACCAGAGAAAGTGGCACACCCTTTCACTCGACATCTTGCAGGTGTCAATGGGCCTTGCGACAGTTGTTCCAGAAACAAGTGCTTCCCAGGGAAAAAAAAGCTATACGTTATCAAAGTAACTTCAAAGTGCGGTAAACATAGGAAAACACTGATGCTAGCGGTAGAAACGCGCAGCAACCAAAACTGCACACAAAGCCGTTGGTGAAGCGGGCAGGTGAGGTATGCTCATGCGTGCTCCGCACGCGCTGCTTGAAGCCTGAAGTTCCCACTTTAAAAGGATATTACTTCTACAGCGATTTGCTATTTGCAATGACTATGTTTGCACTAAACACTTCAACAAGTGTAACAAAGAAAGAAGCAGATGCCTCAAACCTAGTTGTGCTTGTACCCCTTGTCTGCCATACCAATGGACCGCTCCTCATACGGACTAACCAGTCGGGACACGATGCACCAAATGTCCCACACTTTACGTCGCCATGGCGTAAAATCTACTTCTTGATTGTTTTTGGTGCTGAAATTGTTACCACAAAGAATATCCTCGATATCTAATGTTCACAAACGGCACGCCATTGCCCTCGCAAAACCCAGTGCGCCGATCACGACTGGAACACGCAGCCTAACTGTCTTTCTGCTGTAGTTGAAAACCCTATTTCCTTCAAATTGGTGCAAATTGTAGATACCAGACTTTCAAGGTTCCCGGAAGAGATTTCGGGGGGGACTCTGCTCGTCAAGCCAAGCGATCCAATGTGGAACTCGAGAATATTCGAACCGCCCCTCAACCAACGTCCAGATTCCTCTTCTAACGAGTCACTCTTTTTGAGCTCTATTCATTCACAGTTGCGATCTTTTTTCTCTTTTTAGGTCGGTACCTGATTTGCACACTCCATCTAAAAAAACACAGCATAGCGAGTTGAGGTGAAGGGCTGAAGCACTGTTCAAGAGCTAGCGCTACACGAATTTTAGTCTACTAGTAAGTTTACTGCACGTTCTCCATCTGCATTCGATTGGTACAAGCGGCGGCTAGCTTTGTTGCGGGTGCTGATCTTGAGTGCCTGCACTCAGCGCAGATGTGGGCAAATGCGGACGCCGGAGTGGGTGTACTCCTTGCTACTCCGATGGCTGTTCCCCTTCTAGGCGTATGAATACGTATGGTGGTGATAAAGGACTTGGGCAAGCTGTCTTGTGTTGATATGCAAACTTTCCCTTAGCTTCAAACTGCATATGTGCCTGTATCCGCGCGCTCCCCAATGGCGGTTTTAGGGAAACGTTCCACTTGAAAACGGGGATAGCACTCAGTTATTTGACTATATCAAACAAGGAAGGTTAATACGACTCAGATGCCATAATAGGTGAAGTTACCCCATCTGCTGCATCTCAGGGAACGGATAGCTATGAAAAAAGAACCTTCAAGACACTGTAGTCCCCTCATTGCGAGCCAGCTTGAAGGGTCTCTCTGGAGCTTTCCGAGCACCGGGCATGGCATACAGGCTTTGTATTGTATCCCTGCTAGAAGTACGATGACTGGCTGTGTACAAACTCAGAAAGGAGGATCCCAGTTAGCTGCACCGAAGGTGTAGTTCTCGAGTGGACAGGCACCGTCTACACATGTGAGTTCCCGGTATTGCAGGTAGGCAAGCTTTACCCTGCCTATAAAAGAAAATAGTAAGAGGCACGTTTGCTCTGTCGGTCTGCAAACGGGAGTCTTATACCGAGACTCATGGGACGACGGAGAACCCAAAGTAGATAGCCCACTGCATAGTTGAAGATGCTTTGATGATCGTGCCTCACTTCATCAAGGGTCCCCATCACTGTAGAGAAAATCTGCCGTGTAAATGGTGAAGTGCCCTATTGGCGGCCCTTATTGGCCCAGTCGTTGGCTCAGGCGACCCGTGGGCCTCCACCGGGCAGAAGGGAACCCTCGTATGGCCTATATGACATCCTGAATCCCTAATACCCACCCTAATGGTTATACAGTGACTTATTGAGCACCTATTCCAAACGCAGTGCTGATCGCACAGCTGTAGGGAGGCCCACATTGCTTTTTCCCCTTTGTTGCTGGACTGGGACACCTCGTTTCCTCACCTGATGTAACGGTGGCTCTTTTGTTAGGGGGACCACGCGACAAATGCCTCCTGAGACAGTGATATGAGGACGCATGGCCGTGATGCGCTTTAACTGTAGCAGCTGTTGCATATCATGAGACACGGGCTAGCGAGAGGCACTGAAGTGCTTAGAGAAGCTACAACAGGGGCACCTTGTATATGCTAGAAAACTCTTGAACCCTTTGTCTCACCGTCTGAACGGGCAAGAGCCCCTCCTCTGGGACTCTTTAGCTCCCATTTTCGGTCTCCGTGCGTAGAACCGGCCAACTCTTTCATTCCAAAAGTCTAAGCATTCTTCGAAACAATTTGCTTCTCCTTCCTCTCCAAGGCCGGCACGGAAGCCCTGAGAGGGTACCGCAGGGGTCCCCTCCGTGAAACTGGGCACTGGCCCCATTAGCGGGGCAGCGCTGTGAGATCCTGAAGGATCTCTACGCACCTGAGGTGGCCCCACGGAGGAGCTCCGAAGCGCACCGGGGGTTCCTGAGACGTTGCGAGGTGAAGTGAGGACCGCCTTATCCGGACTTTTTAGGGCTCCAGGGTTGATTTGCGGCCCCCATGGCATTGCTGGCAGGTTGGCATAGTACGCTGCCGGTGTTCGAGGTCTTGTGGATTCCCAGGCCACCCCAGTCTCTTTCGTGTTAGCAGGGAGGAAGAGTGGTCGTGCCCACACCTGCCCAGGCACTAATGCAGCGGGAATTTCTCCGCAGCACATTGGGTGGGGGGCCTGCTGCGGCGTCCACGTATTCGGCCTCGTGTCATCCAAGGCTCCTCCATAAGGCAAGCCTCCGGGCTCTACGGGGGCTCGTGCTTCTGGGTTATCTGCAGGAATGTTCAAGGGTTTCTCTGGAGGGTAGACGGTCCTGCATTTTTCCCTTCCAAGTTCCAAGTCCATGGGGATTCCCCCCCGCGTCCTCGAAACAATGTTAACAATTCTTGCTGGTGTGGCAGAGGCCAAGGGCTCCGCTGAAGCGCCTCCACACGTATCAGTGGCACAGAAAAGACGACAATTGGGCGGCTGCTCTGTCTCAGCGGGCCTCCAAAAGTTTGGAAGAGCAGTGACGGCCACACCGGTCCCTGGGGTTCCCTCCTGTCGCAAGCTTGGAATCGCCTTGGAGACATATTCGTCTCTAGGCGTGAAGGCACGTCTTGCTGCTGGGAAAGGAGAAGGTCTGGAAACCCACCGGAAGGAAGGCGGGGCTGCAGATTGCATTTGGGGTCCCCGGTAGGGGCCCTCTAGGTAGGCGGCGTTACGGGAGCAATTGGCTGGGATGCTAGACTGCCTGGGGACTGACTGTTTATTCGTCGGCTGGGCACCCAGGGGAGGCCTCTGAACAGAGGTCCTCTTTGGGGACGAGCAAGTGGCAGTGCCTGCAGGAGTGCCCTCCAAGTGTGCTGTGGGTTCTCCAGCAATTTCCGGGAGTCGATGCCCCGAAGAGGGGTCTGGAGTATTCGAGAGCATTCGAGCAGATAGGGGTGGAATCTCTCTGTGTCTCTTCTCCTGCTGTAATGTTGGAAAGGTTGCAGGGGAGACCTGTACTTCTTTGTGGTGGTGCCCCTCCTGTTGTCTTTGTATTGCAGGGGCCGTTGGAGTGCGATGCACTGCATTCGGCACAACAAGGAACGGGTTCTTTCTTGGAGAGCTCTTTAGCTTTGTCTCCAAGGTTTCCAGGGGGTGGCCTCTTGGGGAGCTGGGGCCTATAGCCGGTGCACTGCTATTTTGGTAAACTCGAGGAGACGCAGCTTGCCGCAGAGTCACACTCGACTCCGTCGCGGAAGGGGGCCCTGCTGACGAGGATTCCGAGTCGCTTTCTTTTCTGCAGAGGACTCCTTTACCCTTTATCCGCATCCAGCAGGATCGTGGCAATGGGGGGCGGCTGGAAGCACCCAGCAGGCGTGCAGCTGTGGGAAAGGCTCTTGGAGGAGGCCGCGCAGGCCTGCCAAGCCGCTGGAACAGCCCCCAATTCGGGAGACAACACACTGGGGAGATGGTTTCCGCCGTTGAACTGCGCTCAGCAGGACCGCTCAAAGCGCCTTCAGCTCCAGCCCTTTTCCCTTGCTTCCCAGTATATCTGCCGCGAGCGCTACGGACGTCTTTATACATGCTCTTGGGGCCTTCTACTGTGCGCCTCCGCCGTTCCCGCGTCCACGGCCTCAGAGTCTGCTGAAGCAGCAAATCACTTTTTGTATCAAAGGCACGGCGGGGATTTTCTGGTTCTTCTGGCAAGCAGAAGGTGCAGCACTCGCCGGGGGCTGCCTCGGCTGCCGTAGCGTCCCCCTTCGGCGACGGGCCAGGAATTTCCCAGGATGCCCCGCCTTTTGCGGCCTTGAAGCGGGGCAGACGCCTGTCAGCCGGTGTTAGCTGAGGGACTTGGGGAGGGCTCCTACGCAGCAGCAGCAGCGAATCCCCCTGTGCGACGTCACCCTTTGTCGCAGAGCCTTTAAGCGCCTCGGTGGAGGCACCTTGCAGATAAAGTGGAACTTCTCCCATCGGAGATGCAAGAACCGTAGGCCCCCATGAAACGCCTGGGGGCAGCACCACGGCCTGAGGCCACGCCGTGGGGGTGCGCATGGGACTTGATGGTTGCTCTTTCCCTTGGTCGTTGCTGGGTAGCCGTCCTTCCTGAGCTGGGAGGCCCCAATACGGAACGCCAGCATGGACGCAAGAAACGGGCACATGGGCATGATGCACGCAGCAGACGGTGCAAGGCGGGGGCTCACACTGCTTCAAACAGAGGCCGTGGGGTTCCTCCAGACCGTTTTTTTGGTGCTGCCGCGTCTGCGGCTCAGGCTGAGAGCTTGAGGGCCTCGGTGCGCCGCGGATATCAGAGGATTTCTCTTTCAAATGATTTTTCAGGTCTGGTGAAAAACGGCGGCGAGTACTTTCAGACGTGGAGCTCTCTTTGCTGCTGCCTCGGCGAAGGATTCCACCCCTCGGGACAGAGCCCCTCTTTTCCGTAGGAGGATCACTTCTGGGAGCTTCTAAAGACTCCTTGCTGTAGCTTTGATTAATAAGGGCCAGAACCTCGCTCTGTGTGCAACACGAACAGCAACAGCCAAGATGCAACCCGCCCCTGGTGTGGTGTATCCTAATACTCCCTTCTTGATACTGAGCGCTACTGCAGCGCGATTCGGGGGGGGGGGGACGGGGGGGAAAGAAGGATCATCTAGCACTAGCTTTAAAAAGTGCCTTTTAATGGGGACTGACCCGCAAAGCTGAGGCCTTCTCGAGGAGTTTCTTCGAGTTCCCCTCGTCCTTATCCTTACTGGAAATTCGAAGACGGAAATGGGGCTTCGAGAGAAAAGAATTCTCAACCTTCTCGCCTTTACTAGAGCTTCCGGATGTTGCTATGCTGCTATTTCTCATTCCTACTTGACTTTCCTCCTGTGATGTCTCCTCTGTACTCATCCTGTTGGCGCCTTCTTCTGAGTTCTTTGGGGGGCTTTCTGCGAGGACCTTGGCTTCGAAATCCTCTGCTAGCGACTCTTCAGGATTTCCTGTTTGTTCATCTCCCGGATAGATTTGGTCCTGTGCCGCCATAGTCACGTCTTTTTTCGTCTTCAAGGGCGCCTGGCTAATGGCTAATGGCCCACTTTCGTTCCGTACGCCCTTGTAAGTAATGGAAGGCGGTTTTTCTGAATCATCTTCTTTTGCCTTCAGCTCTCCGAGGGTCTCCTCGGGAGGCGCCGCTCGCATTTTCCATTCAACACTGAAATAGTACCTCTGTTCAGCCTCCTCTTGCTCGTCGGGGGCTGCTATCATTTCTTGAGCAAGAGGCGTATGAGGCATCTGCTCCCTCATGTCTATCCAGCCAGGCTGATCGGTCTGTAGCTGGAGGCCCTCAGGAGTAAGGAAATTCACAGCATGCTCAGAAGACGCAAAATACTCAGCACCGTCAACATCTCCATTGGCATAGTGCTCTGCAGCATCTAGGTCCTCAACTTGCGGCGGTGCCTCGGCTCCCTCTTCCCAGCCAAGCTCAGGGCCATTGTGCGCCGCAACAAGGGGGCTCTCAAAGACTGATTCTTGCTGATCGTAGCTGTATGTGGGGGGGGTTCTTGCAACGGCAATAGGAAGTGCTGCCGATGCAGCCCTGCCTTCGTGTTGGCGGGGGGGTTCCTGGGCGATTGAAGCTTCATGGTGAATCGCCTCCCCGTTAAAGTGCTGTTCCGATCTAGAGGCATCGGATGACGCGATGCCTTCGTGCGCAAACAGCTGCCTAACTGCAGGGGAGAGGCCCCTACCTCGAGGATATGGGGCACCGCCGCTGCCGCGGGGCCCTCGCAGGTCGCTCAGTTGTTGACAGAAAAGAGAGCCCGTGAGGTTCAGGAGCTCGTCTGAATGCGGCTGCTCCTTTCCGGAAGGCGCACACTTGAGTTGAACGGCCACGTCATGCATGCTCATGAACGTTGTAGGCTTTTCCTTAGTCTTCAGGTAGACATGCTTCTGAGACGGAGGAGAGGGGTCCCTGCGGGCCGAGAAGGGGCGGGGAGATGACAAGTGGGGAACATTCTCCCTTAAAGCGACATCCGTTTCCAACGCATAGCGGAGAAAATCTCGGTTCGAAGCAAGATGCTTCATAAGAAATATTAGTCTTGTCAAGCGTGAGCTCTCTAATAGGGACCAGTCAGAGGACCCCGATAACAGGATCTGAGAGGAAAAGGCGGCATACGGAGAGAATGTCCGCTAGCAGGGCATGCGCAAAATAACGAGGGCTCACAAATGACACAGGCGAAAACGCTCTAAAAGGGCAGGTGCGCAAAATGTGGTGTCCTGCAGAGGGGCCGGGAGGACGCGTGCTCTACAGCCGGATCGGGTTTGGCAGTTAACCATGAGCGCGCGAAAGCGTAGAGCCCTTAAACCCCAAGCGTGGTGCTTGCCTTGGCTTGCAGGTTCCTCACGGCCTCCTGGATATGGGCAACTCTTCTGACTTGCTCTTCCTGCGTTGGAGCCCACCACTCACTGGCTCTTCTCTGCCTCAGGGCGCATGGAGTTTTCTTTCGGAGGGCAGAGAGGCAAATAAGAAGGAGTTCGCTCTGCTGTAGGACGAGACGGTGCAATTCGAAGAGTCGTGACCTGCTTGCAACCCGGAAGCGCAGAAAAGCACAAACGGCAAGATCTTCAAATATCGCAACAAAAGAGGCTGCAGGGACAGAGGGGTGCTTCTGGACGTTTAGTGTTGGATCCCTGCCCAGCTTCAAGAGAGGCTGTCTTAAGGGGATCTCGCGTGGAGCGAGGAAGAGAAGCTTGCTCGGTGAGGGGTCTCGAAACGGTATGGCTTTGCCTGATGTGTATCCGCACTTGCGTGGCTGAATCGTTTGCTGCTCGATATGTCTCTTGATGTTGCAGAGTCTAGAAGCGAAATTCATCACTGGGAGAGACACGGGCACATAGCGGTCTGAGGGGTCTAGCGTGATGAGTACGGCTAGGTGACCGGGGGAAAGAAGAGGCCTCCTTAAAAGAGTTGTCGCAGCAGAGGACGACCAGTTGAAGCTTTCAAGAGAAGAAGGAGCTTCCGCTAGGCGCAGAAGGCACTCCGTTAAAAAAAAGAGACTGCGGTTGAAGCGGTCCTCTGTACAGGCCAGACACAGCGCATTCAAGAAATCCAGAGGAATGATCGTTGAGTAGCTGTGGAGAGAGGAGATGGACTCCATGCATGCAACATTCATAGATGGTGTTTGAAACAAATGGTACCCGACGTGGGGGAGGGGGGAAGACGAAGGCGACCAGAGAATCGAAAAGCCAGTGGTATGCACTATTTGTTTCCTTTAGGAGGGTCCAGAGCAGCATACCCCCCTCAGTTGGCAACGCGATCAGCGTTTCGACGCCTCCAGCCTCTACAAATATCACCTCCGCCTTCAAAACCATCGCGTTTTGTCGTGTGCATTTCTTTGGCTCCTCTTTCACGTAAGGCTCCTTTCCGTCGTGCGTCTTTGCACCCTGCTCCTCAGGGTGCCTTTCTGCTGCTGCTAAATTTTCTCGAGGAAAGCATAAAGCCCTCTCTACAGACAAGCGGAAAATGCTATGAGCTCCGGAGGCACCCAAGATCCCGTCACGGGCTTTCTTGAATGCGGAGGCTCTGCACCAAAGCAGTCAAGTCGTCACACAGAAATGCCTAGGCCCGAATTCACAAAAAGGTTCAATGAATACTAAAGCCTTTGGGTGTCAATAGATCGGAAGAGGTGCGGGGAGGGAAGGATGCCGCAAGAGAAAACAGTGTGAATTCACGGAAGCCTGAGAGGAGAAGAAAAGGGGTTCCCTCAGTTCTCCATATTCTCTCTCTATCAGCAAAGTTTGATGTAGCAACCCCCGTTTTTGTGTCTACTCCTCTCTGCTGCCTTGGGTGCTCACTTAGTGACAAGAGCAATGGCCGCCTCTAGAGTCTCTACGTCAACTTCCTTAAGTCCTTCGAGCTCTCCGCTGTCCGCTAGCCTACCGCCGTGTTTAGAAGCCACCGTTGGAATCCTCTGACCGGGAGAATATCCCTCACAAGCAACGAAAAGATCGCCTACTTGCTCTCCACGTATCTCTACATAAGACATGCGGATGTTGAATTCGCTTCGCACAGGAGGGTCCCCGCAAGGTGGGCTACCAGATGAACCGTTGGGGAGGCCCTCCTTCCATTGTGTCTTCCCAACCCCTGGAAAGGCTGCGGCGATGGCTAGAGTCGGTTGAGGCTTTGAAAATGCGGACGTCTTATTGTCGTATGAGGCGATGTGTGCGAATAGGTCGCCGAGGGCCGAAGGGATCAGCCCCGGGGCTTCCAATGTCCCAAAGAGAGAATAAGATTTGCCGCTGCCAGAGCTTCCGTAGGCTACCACCAAACTGCTTATTCCCTACAGCCGCAGGAGCCACAACGTGGCAATGGTAGTGGCAAGAGGACACCGAGAGCAGAAGAATCGGAAGAACGGAAACAGAGGGTGCGCATGGAGGGAGGCAAATACAACCACGGGACATTAGAGCGGAAATAAAATACACAGGGTTGATCGTTTACCTCTGTAGCCTGTATTATAAGCGGCTGGATGGCCTCCACGAAGATCGTCGTGGTGCCGACATCTTCCGCAAAGACCCTAATGAAGCACAAGACGAAAACACAAACACAAAACATCCCAGGCTTACCCGTTTGAAGGGGAAGCTTCAACATTTAATCTTTTAAGTGTCGCGAGTAATTTTGTGAAGTCCACGTAGGACCGCCCATGGAGCCTTACTGGGCCCCTATCTACCCTTAGACCATTCAGAAGGGTCTAGGGAGGTGTGCCAAGAGGCAAAACTTGGCTTGTATCTCAAGGAGCCCCCACTAATATGCCTTCATAGTAATCAACGGGCTATCTTATGTCTTGAGGGTGCCAACGAATTTACCTGCCGTTGAGGCGGAAGGATGCAGTCTCTACAGCCTGGTCACCACTTTCATTAGGAATGGAAAGCAGAAGGGAGCCGTCCTGTGCAACAGAGTACGCTGGGTGCGCAAGTTTCTCAATGACCCCCAATTGTAGGGGCCTCAAGCGTGCGTACACTTTGGCTGGTGCATCCCGTGTTACTGTTGCTGCTGCTGTTCCTGCTACTGAGTGTATCCGGGTGGGGGAGAAAGAGCCGTTACCAGACATGGTCACCGTTCCGACTGCATTTAGGGGATTATCATGTACATGGGAAAATGTGTAAATGTCAGGAAGTTTGGCTTTAAAGCCGTAATTTGAGTGAAGAGCAAAACGGGCGAAGGAGGACCACTGTTGGTGTTGTATGCTTGCACCTCAACCAATCGCCGTCCTCCCACACTATCTTTTCCTTATTTCACTGATGAAAACAAATAAAACAGCTATGGTATATTTCAGTACAAATTTCCTAAACATTTAAAGAAAAGTGCTTGGGAGGGAAGAGGACGCGTGCAGCGTCTGCGCTGCGGCGGGAGACAGAGGTTCTGGTGCCTCGGCTGCGCTGCTCGCTTTACTCTAAATCATGCACAAGGCTATTAAACCAATAGGAATCAAAATGGCTATATTGGCGGGAAAAAAATGATCAAAGCAGGAACAGCCCGTGTACCAGCGAGACCACGAGGGCCTTGTGGGCAGACCGCCAGTCCGAATGCTTAGGGGCCCACAGGCACCTGTGGTCTTGCAGCGGGAACAGAAGCAACGAGTGTCTGTACTTATCAGCATGAATACGCAGAGTAAGAGCCTATTTGCACTGCTCTTTTATCTTTAGTGCTCCTTATTCCTTCTCTTCCGCAGGTTTCCTACTCTCAGTTTCCAGGAGGGCGTCACTGTGCCGACATGGACGAAAGTCCCGGCGGTCTTTGGTTATCGGGCATTCAGTCGGAGTCTCCTTTCTGCGCTCACGCAAAAGACCTCACTAGTTTAGGGATGTGAAGGAGAAGTGTACGAAGATGCGGCTGACAATATCGTTAGTCCAAATGGTTTTCTCGATAGATTTCACGTTGATGTACAGAGTAACTTGAGCCGTCCTCCTTTGGTCTAAATACGAACACCCCTTCACTGGAAGACCATCAGAGCCTGATACAAAGTGATTGCATGCTTTTTGAGAACACTCGCTTGATCTTCAGGCTCACACACGGGGTTTGGGCATGCAGGAAAGTAAGGCGGCGAGGATGCAAATAATAGCACTCATTAAAGAGTCTTCCTATTCTTGCTCAGTCGCACATAGTACGTGAGCTAAAGTTTCACAGCATGTAGCAGCGAGATAGCCGTACTTCGCACATTTGAAGGTTCCATGGCAGCCTGAATAATTGGGCTATTTTCATTCAACTGTCTATAAAAGTACATCACCCAGTAAATGTCTCAAGCAGCAAAGCTTATTCCACTGTTTCCAAAATAAGAGTATAAAAAGCCGAATTCAAATTCTTTCTTCACATCAGTGCGTTTATATTGTCTTTAGTTGCAATGAGCCTAAACTATGTAACATGCCAGTCCTGTCTCTTACCCTCTTTGGAGCGGGCTCAGCTACCTGTAAAAATCCTTTTACTGCATTTGGTGCTACGAGTTACTAACAAGTGACTACACCTTATGTACACTCTTGTATTTTGTTTGCTGCAAAGTACTGTTGGCTCAATACAAGGAGACGCAAAGTAGTATACATGGGTGCTAAGTGGTACGTGCAATTAGCTGCTAATGGTTGGATTGCTCAGCCTGTGGAGGTGCAAGAGCGCTGCCGGGACCTCTCCCTTCGTGTCTAAGAGGTGCGGACAGGCAAACTAGTTAGGTCTTTTGAAACATTCCCCAACATTCTATGCTTAGTCTAGGGCTAAGTGTCTCTCTTTGGAGACGTTCGTCCAACGTTGCCGTTGGTAGCATTACGGGAGTCGATGCACCTATTTCCCTGCATTTACTTGCTTCGAATGCAGTGAGACGACGCTCTTCCTTGCAAATTCTTTCTGGTTCAGTCAAGCTACTTGATTATCTAACAATTCAATCTCTCTCAAAAGTCCGAAACAAAGTTCTTTGGCTTTAGAAGCTGACGGATGGACGACGCCTGTTAAAACGGCAAATGCAGAGCTTGGAACTGGATTTGATGCAGGAGCTATACAGCTGGTAGAACAGCATGATGAATTAACCGATAAATGTTTATGGATGCATTTATGATGTTATGCGGACCAGAAAAGTGCGGCGGCCACAGGGATGGGCAAGTACTCGAAGACTTCAGCAGCCGTTCGGAGAGGCAACTCGCTCTGTACCGAGAGAGAAACGAGTATTCCTGGTAAAACATTTATTAAAGCAAGGAGCACTGGCTGCTCTATCCATGTAGAAGGCGTTTGCCCAAAAGAAGTCCTATAGCTAAGGCCTCCATACGAGTTGTGACTCCTCGATTTACGCCAAAACTAACTCGACAGCAAGCTTCGGGAAAGTTGAGAAAGCTGGAGCAGATGAATCCACCACCATATCAGTATATTGAAAAACATCAAGTTTTGCCTTTTACAAGCCAGCGTGTACACGCACAGTGGCTAATCATACGCCCACTGGAAATGGCATGCGAAGCGGTCACAGCATGGGCGGTGTCTGGGTGATTCAACAAACGACTGCTGATCCTTTTACATAGATTAAGCAGAGTTAGACTTTAAAGGAGCAACTGAGCACAGTATGCATGTTCGGCTGGAAAGGAAGAGCCACATAAGGATTTGGAGTTCATGGATATGAAGAACGTGTCGACCAGCCCAAATCTACTATTCAAGGTAAACGAGAAAGGAAAGCGGGAACGAGTTTGCGTTCCCAAGCAGCCCCAAATAGCTCGTACACATTAATGGCCAAGAGAGGCCGGCTTTATCAACGCTGAATCAAAAATTTATTTGTAATCAGAGCAGACTACTTTGAGGTGCAACCTGACTGCTCACTCATAAGCGCAGTCCCAAAGACTCAGGAGTGCTGCCGGGCGGAAGAACGCAAGACTTGGCAAATCCATAGCCATTGAATGCCACTTTGATTTTGAATTTGGTTCTCTCTGCATGATCAGTAATTTTTATTTTGTATTTGTGCACCATGAAGTGATATCAGGTATACCATGAGTGACGCAACGAAACGAGCCCATGAGGCCATATCTGCATGCTGTGGAGGTTAGTATGACAGGAAACCCTCAAAAGAGATAGCAGCTGCTCTCCTCAACAAAGATTGGTACCTATGTGGTAAGCGGGGTGCAGTCGGTATTTGAGCACAGTACTACAAAGGCTCCAGGTGAACCGTTCAGCAGTGCACTGAGAGAAGAGGGTTGTAAGCATGCATCACATCTTGATAGCTCCGCAGCCGGTTCAATGCCAGGGAGTTGTATTGATCCTGTAACAGCGGAACTACAATGGTGGGCAAGCATAGAGGAAGAGCTTGCAGATTAGCAAAATCATGACGAGCTCCCGGCAGGCTGGCCATCTGTTGGTCGCTCAGCGCACAGTATTGAGTTGATCCCCGGGTCAGCTCCAAGCTATGTTAAGTGGCATCGGTGCCCCACACAGGATGACATGAAAAATGAGTTCTAGGCGGATGAGCCGCTGATAAAAGGCAAAGCGCAGGAGCCGGCCAGTGCTTTGGGCATAACCGTGTGTTGAGGCCGAAAAACGACAGGAAGTGGCGTATGTAAGCTACAATTAAAGTTCCTGAACATGTTCACTTTGAAGCAAAGGTTCCCATGCTCTCATATTGGCGTATTCATCAGACGCACTATACGAAGTACAGTGTACTCGATATTTGACCCCACGGATGCGTTCTTTATAAACCTCCATTCACCCAGGTGACGAATACAAAACGGTGTTAAACACTCGCACTCGCAAATTGGGTATACGAGTCCGCTGTTAAAGCTTGCTAAGATCTCAGCTTAACTGCAACACTAACTTATTCGGGATCTACATAAGCCTATCAAAGAGGGATAATTGGCTGGCTACATGCGAAGCGCCATAGTATTTAGCTTAACATTAAACAACCCCTACATCACTGACGGTGTGCGCGTCACATGCTGCACTCCAAGCAGCGTTCTGTAAAGGCACCCAAGTTTTTGTTTATTGCATTAAAAATCATGTTTCTGGAAGTCCGTTTTGTGGTTGCAGGAATGGAGCCAGATACGGCACAATATTGTAGCGATAAACATGTGGCTAACTCCCCAAGGAACCGCAAGGATGTTGAAATATGCTGTGTGTTTGCACTTAACTACCAAAATTACCGACCGAAAATTGTCCAGGTCACTCCGTTGACTAAACTACCTAAGGACACGCGCGCTGTGGCATGGACAAGAAATGTTCATGTCACAGCAAAGGACGCTTTTTGGCCACCTTACAATCCCTCCAGAAAATGTGCTGCTTGATTCTGCACGCCATAAGTACCCACAAATGCTAGTGATACAAAAGTGGGTGCTTTTCTTTCCCAACCGGCTAATGGCTTTCCAAATCATCAACCTATTGCCTGTCATTTTACCACTTCGCTGAAATCCAGGGTTATCCAGTGGGAGAAAAGGAACACTGTGGGACGTGGTGACGGATGGAAAAAATACACACTAATCATACGGGTGTCCTTTTGGTGTCCACACGGACGATTAGCCATCCGTCTAGCTTACGAAGAATGTTCAGAATTTATAATAAATTTAGAGCTCTTTTTTGGCTACGGAAGCCCCCACAGTGCTTTTTACAGTGTAACATATGAATGGCGTTACCCACGTTGCCTCCGACAGGCTCTTGCTACGCTGCGGTTGCTCATTATTACGCAGTGCAATCGCTCTTGGCTGTGAAGATTATTGGTCCTCGGCTGCTTAGAAATTGAGTGAATACCATGCTATTGACATCTACAGCTAAGCTCCTGTTATCACAATTCAGAAAGAAAATGGGGGGAGCCCTATCACATTGGGGACGGCCTGCTTTGGCTGTAGTTCAACACAAAGCGACACTCCGTCGGTTGTACATTAATAACTTTATTCCGGAGTATCATGCCGCTCACGGCATACTGTCCTTTCCAATCTTGACATTGTTTGAATTCACGCTACACTGGGAAAGCTTTCGTAGTCTTTCTGATAGCGTGGGATGCGTCCCGCGGCAGGCGCATACGCACTGCCATGCCCACATTGCAAGGATTTAAAGCCGAAAACCCTCCTAGCCTTTGAGTTTTGAAAGGCCATGAGATCGTGA